GGCTAGACTCGATCGTTAAAAAGGTCTTCATTTGATTATATAGGCAATCAAGCATATGTCAAGGAGTTGGTAAGTTCTCTTCATCGTCAACTTTTTAAAGAATATGCTCACAATGCCTAAGGGCATTAGCTCTTACATAGTGTTTATTCCTACAATGGAAAGGGAACACATGCAAGAAGCTTCTCATGATTTGTATGTATTCTCTTTTAACATTCACTAGATGCTTGAGTGGTTAACAGCCCATCTTTTCAACTCCTCTTCCACTTGGCCAAATTCTATAATTTATTCTTGAATATTAAGTTTTAATGGTTGTTGGATCCTTTTTACATTACTCTTATATTGCCCAAAAATGATTACACCACTGTTTTTTTTTATTGTAGCTTTATGTGCATGAAAGCAGGGTAAAGTAGTGATCAACTTAATCCACTTTTTACTCTGCTTGCGTATATAGTTTAGTTAAATTATCACCCCTAAATCGATGATACGCGTGTAATTTCCGTGTATATGTTTACATTTTTAGTTAGTTTTTGTTGTTTAATATTTCGGAAATTACACACTTTTGGTGTAATAGTTTAGTTTGTTAAATTCTTGTAAATTGTTTAGATTAGGTTTATTCTGAGCTCAAACAGGTCTACTATCACTCAAAGGACAGTTGGTGAACCTCAAAAGTGGAAGGAAGGTGCAAAATCACAAGACAAAAGGGAAAGAACCTGATTTTTGGTATATACCCGGTCGAGTATCATCTATACTCGATCGGGTATCTTGTTGAAATTTCAAATCGGATCGGATCCTAAAACAAAGGAACATGCAAGGAAGATTTTGACCACGATCGAGTGTCTATACCCGATTGGGTACATCGACATACTCGATCGGGTATGACTATAAATTTTACTCTAATTTCAATCGAGTATGGATCGAATTCGAGTTTCTACACATACTCGATCAAGTATCTGTATATACTCGATCGAGTACCCGAGCTGCACTCCCAAAAAGCCTATAAATACACCCCATTTCCTTCACAATAAGATACTAATTCCTTTATACTCTTAAGCTCAGTTTAGAATAGCATTTCTTTATATTTCTTTTAGCATGTTTAGTCTCCAAATGAGGAGCTAAACTCCCATTTCTTGGTTTTCCTCTTGAAGCTTGTTGATTATTAAAGTTGTGAGTTATTTTCTTACTTTCTCCTCTTGATTATTAATTCTTCCCTTAATCTCATTCTATATTAATGTTGGAGGGTTGCTAAGTGACGATTAGTTAACGTTCCGACATTAATTATTACTAGAAATGATCAACGAACCGATGGTTAATCGTTGATGGTTTCACAAGTAAGTAACTTCGGTTTATTAATGCACGGTCGTGGTTAATAAACTTAAGAGGGATTAATTTTGTTGGTTAGACCGAAACCGTTGTGTTGAGGTTATCAATCTCAATTGATTTCATCAAGGAATTAAAGAGGTTAAATGCTACTATTATATCGGTATACGACGTTGTTCTATATTTGATTAATAGTAAGGGTTATTAATGAACGGTCGTTGTTAATAACTACCCTCGATGAATTGGAGATACTCCGCGATTGAGTATTCGAGAGGGGATAAGTTATAGATATAACAATGATCGACTAAAATATATCAACAAGTGGAAAGTAGCAAGACCAAGTCATTTTTATCTTTGATTTAAACCATATAACTCGTTCATCTTCGTGTTTAAATTAATCGAATCACTCAAACAACCCCCCCCCCCCCCCGTATTTACTAGTTTCATAAAACGAAAGTTATTCCTTTCCCTGTGGATACGAACTCTACTACGCTATACTACGTATAGTTGTTAGTATCGAATTATTTTGAGTGCACACACGACAAAGTGCCCGTCAATCGACACACTCATAAAGTTTAGAAAATGAGTCCATATTTTACAGGTTTCATAATCTCATATAGCTTTCCATATCTGGCCTCTCTTTCCACAGAAAAAGAAACTCTAATGCTCTATCAGGTAAGTTGTCCTAATGCAATGCTCCTTTTTCTTCCCTCATCTTTATGTTTGTTTTCACAACTAGATGTAGGTTTTATGTTTCAGATTGAATAGTATTCATTTACTTTAGTTAATATGTAGTGGACATGTATTTTGTTTTATATAGTTGTTTTTACTTGAATTTTATTGTAAATAGTTTTATATCTTGTAAGATGGCTATGCTTTAGCCAATTTGAGCTTTTTGGATAAAGAATTTGAATACCCTTAAGCATTTAATGTTTAGCTAATGAGTGGAGTGAAGAATGCTTTGAAATGAAGCTTTTACTTTTCTGCTTTTCTTTTAATTGGATGCGGTAGTAGCAATAAATGTGATATTCTAATTTGTAGTTTTATTTTTTGTAGGTGTTCAACCGGCAAGTTTTGTTTCAACGATTTGATCATTGGTTTTATATTCATTAGAAAGATTTATAATTATGAGCATAGTTGGTTTATTTTAGTCTGTGGACAAAAATCTGATTTGGTACTATACGGTGTTGGTTTAACTTAATATAGTTATCGTTTACATATTTAGTCATCATAAAGGTAAAATATTGTTAGTTTTTTTAGAATGAATGAATTGCATATTAATACTTTTCTATTAGTTATTTTGATATTTATATTTACTCGTTTTCTTTCTTATTCTCTACTGTACGGGGCCTGCCAGGCTGCCAGTGAGGGTTGAAGCTTTGAAGCTTTGAATGTTTAGAGAAGAATTTGATGTGCTATGGTACCTGCAAAGGAGTTGATGTTTTCCCACAATTTGTACCTTCAAAAGAGTTGATATTATCTAGTTTCTTATTTTAGAGTTTTTTTTACTAAAATATTGTAAATTTAAGTTACTCCCCTATGCTGGAAACTTTCCAGATGTTACATTGGATTGGATTTACATTATTATAATTATTTTGAACTTGTTTGTTTATGATACTTCCTTATTACAAATGTTTTAGTTAGTGCTATTATAATTTGTCTAAATGACCCAACATAAATTAGTAAAATATTAGTTGCTAATAAGCCTATAGAAGTGTTGCTTGTTTTAAAAAAATGTTGCAAAAGATTATAATTCAAATGTTACATAAAGATAACAAAGCGTTGCCTAAAGTAAATTTTTAAGTGTTGCATTTTGTTTCAAAATGTGTTGCATAAGATGTTGGTCAAAGTGTTGCAAAAAAGTGTTGCATTTGAGTTATTTATGCAACATTTCTATGTAGTGTTGCATAATATGTTAAAAAGTGTTGCATATGACATTATGCAACGAGACCTGAAGCAACGCCCATAAAAGTGTTGCAACAGCCTTTTGTAACACTAAAACAGTCTAATGTAACATATTTGAGGCGTTACAAAATGTCTAATTTGTTGTAGTGGAGTGAGCCCAGTTGTGTTTTAAAGCTCCTTTAATGTCCAATACCACATTCATTGATTATTATTTTTCTGATAGCGGCAACCACTCCATTCAAAGTATTTCATACTAATTATTATACTTGTTATAAACATATTATTTTCATTGTGTCAATTTACAATGAGAACATTTGATAGGAACAAAGGTAGTATGTATTTAATATAAAACTAATTAATAAATAGTGTATAAATGAGCTTCTAGACTGACTTTAACTGAGGTTAACAGGATGTGATGGAATACATGGGTTCTGATCATCTGATGAGTTGGGACATAATGGGCCGGCTGAATTTCAAGTACTCTACCAAATGCCCATCCCTTCAAATATTGGGCTGGCTTGTGGGCCATATTGGCCGGTCCGGGCTTTTTAGCAAATGGGATGGATAGGCTATCAGGGGTTAAATGACAATCCCTAGTAATACTAAGAAGTTTTATGCCATTTATTTTTTGGGATAAAACATAAAAACGTTTAGTAATTCATGGACTCATCAAAGGACTATCAAACTTAGGCCATGAAGTCCAATTACTCTTTTCAACTTCAGATATAAGTAAGGGGGTTAATGGGCCGATCATAATAAAGTGTAGAATCTGTTTTTACTTGATTATAATTGAACATATTGAATATTCTTTTCTATGAACGAATTCCATATTATTAATAATTCACATATGTCATGGCAATCAAGAAATATTACTCCTCCCATCTCGCTAACATTGTCTAATTTTTCCTTTTTATCCGTCCCATTGAAATCGTTTCAAACCAAATTTGGTAAATTTTGTGTGATTCTAAAATCATTCTTACTTTATCAATTTAGATCAATCACATAAACTCAATTTTAATATTATTAGTGCCATCTCCTCAAATACCAATGTTAGTGGGACAAAAGTAGTACTTGAAATATAATAGAGTTCTTTGCTTGATAGTATTATTGTTTGTTCTTATAGAGAGAACAAAAATGAAACAACCAATTGGAATAAAAATGCTGCCCCTTAGCTTTTCCCAACAGCCATTTTAGATTTTCAGACCCAATAAGCTAATCTAAAATGTTATTTGTTAAACATGGATGTTAACTGTTTTGACTAACGCAAATAATTTAATAGAGAAATTGCTCTAAATAAGAGTAAAAACGTTCTGAAAATTCGAAAAAGGGCTTTCATGTTTTTTCTGAAATAGGAGTAATTACTGTCATGTTTTGTCAATATCAGACTTTATACATGACAATATTTTTCAAATTTGACAATAATTACTCATAATTTAAAATTTCAAAACATTTTTTTACTCCTATTTCGAGAACTTTTTCCGACTAAAATTGGTCAAACCAGTTAAGAGTCTATTCATTGATAAGCCATTTACCATATATACCCTAAATCATTCTAACTTGAGTCCCTAAATCATTCTAAATTGAGAGCTCTTTAAATTTGGTCAATTTTCCATTAGTACTCCCATCATTACGGACAAACTCTTTGCTTAACATGTGGCCCCACATGACTAAGGAACCTCACCTTTGACTTTCCCACAAATTAAAGGAGAAACACCCGCCTCTAGCCATCGTCACGCCGCCGTAATCACTTACTTCACCATTAATTTCCAGTTTCCACACCCTCTCTTCTTTAATTCCTTCTTCTTTGTTCTCCACGACCTTTAAAAGCAAGCTAGGGCGCCATTGTGCGTAATGGAGGCTCTGTTCCAGGAACCCATAGTGGAGTCTCTGTTCCAGGAATCCATAATGGAGGCTCTGTTCCAAGAACCCATCACCGCATCAAACGATTTCGTATACAATCATCATCACTCTGAGCAAGCGGATATAAGTCGGCAGAGATTCTTCAATCCCAGCGGCAGTAGCTTCTCAGGAATCTCAGGCATGACGAAATCTGGTACAGAAGCAGAAGAAGGAGTAGAAGAGGAAGGAGACTACACAGATGCGACTCTGAAATTCATAAGCCAGATGCTAATGGACGAGGCAGAGGACCTGGAGAAGCAGGGCTGCATGTTCACCGACTGCACGGCTCTCCAAGCCCATGAGAAGCACTTCTCCGACGCCCTCCACGGCAGCGACGGCGACCCTTCTCCTCCGAACGGAAAACGGACCCACCACCACTCATCGCCGCCGGCCGCCGAAGAAACCCACGAGAGGAGCAACAAGCTGCAGTTGGCTGAAGAATCCCATGAGCCGCCGTTGGACGACGATACATACTACGACGCCATTCTCTTCCCCTCCAAGAAAACAGGAAAAAAGGCGGGAAGGAGCGGCAGCCACCGCCGTGGCGGCAAGAAAAAGAGAAACCCGAAAGAAGAAGTCATTGATCTCCGAGCTCTGCTCACTAAATGTGCACAGTCCATAGGGGTTAATGACAGAGGGACGGCTAATGAGACCCTTAGGAAGATAAGGCTGCACTCTTCTCCCTACGGCAATGGAACCGAGAGGACGGCGTATTATCTCGCCATCGCGCTCGAGGCGCGAATGAACGGAACGGGGACATCGCTCTACTCGTCGTACCATTCCGACGTTATCTCCGCTACAGATATCTTGAAAGGTTTCCACACGTATATCAATGCAATCCCCTTCAAGGTAGTATCATATATGATGGCCAACAAATACATCATGAAGCTTATAGCAGGAGGAGCAACTAGGCTGCACATCATAGATTTTGGTATTCTGTATGGCTTTCAATGGCCATGGTTCATCGAAGGTCTCTCGGCCAGACCCGGAGGTCCACCGAGGCTTCGCATTACTGGGATAGAATTCCCCCAGCCAGGATTTCGACCCGAAGAGCGGGTCAAGGCCACGGGCGTTCGGCTGGGGAAATACTGCGAGAGACTAAATGTCCCGTTTGAGTTCAAAGCCATAGCGAAGTCATGGGAGAGTATAACACTCGAAGAGCTCGAGCTCGAGCGGGACGATGTTGATGATGATGAAGTGGTAGTTGTCAACTGTATGGACAGGCTAGGGAACGTGCTTGACGAGACATTGGTGATGAATTGCCCAAGAGACATTGTACTCAATCTCATCAAGAACATCAATCCACACGTGTTCATCCACGCAGTCGTGAACGGAACCTACCACACCCCGTTCTTTGAAGTGCGATTCCGGGAGGCACTCTTTTATTTCTCCTCATTGTTTGACATGTTCGATGCGACTGTGCCTAGGGAAGACAAAGACCGGAAGCTCTTTGAGGAAGTAATGTTAGGGAGGGATTCGCTAAATGTGATCGCTTGTGAAGGATCTGAGAGAGTGGAGAGGCCGGAAACGTACAAGCAATGGCAGGCCAGAACCCTTAGGGCTGGGTTCCAGCAACTCCCACTCGATCAAGAGATCGTCGAGTTTCTGAAAGAGAAAGTGAGATCAGATTATGACCACAACTTTTCCATGGAAGAAGAAGGGAAGTGGTTGTTGCAAGGATGGAAAGGAAAGGTACACCACGCTGTCTCATGTTGGAAGCCTAAAAACAACTAATAAGCTAATGAAGTTCTTGGAATCTCCACTTATATTATTGCAATTAGTAACTCATTCAAGTGACTAATATGCATTTATCTTAATGAGTTGTCAACTTGTCATTACATATATAATATATTAGAAAATTCAGTTCGGATTAATTAGCTATATCTACTCTTGATGAGAATGAATTAGCAATTCATTCAAGAGAGTAATATGATCCTTTCATTATATCATGTTGAATTAAGTTACAATAAGATATTGGAATTTGGATCGGCATGTAGTCAAATTAATATGGGAATTATTGTCCCCCCTAGTTTGGTCTTTTTGGTCATTGGAGTATCAAGATTTCAACTACAATGCCAAAATGTCAATCTTGTAAGAGGACTAGTTCCAATTTACGTAGTATATGTTGATTTATATTTTTATTATTATTGAACAAAGGTTTGCATGCACATACAAAATCCGTACCAAATCCATCCGTGGAAGTTGATAAAATTAGTTTTTTTTGTGAAAGGTTGATAAAATTAGTTTTACCATCCATCCCTCAACCTTATTCTTCTTTAACAAATTGCCCTAAATAGGATTAAAAACGTTTTGAAATTCCAAAATAGGAGTACAATGTCATGTTTTTATTCCCTAAATAGGAGTAATCTGCCAAGTTTGGGAAAAAAATGTCATGTTTAAAGCCTTGTAATGTCAAACTTGGCAGAAATTTACTCCTATTCAGGGAATAAAAAACATGATACTCCTAATTTGGAATTTCAAAACGTTTTTACTCCTATTTAGGGAATTTTCTCTTTTTCTTTTCTTTTTCCACAACCAAATCCCTACTTTATAGTGCTTGTAAACATCTCCATAAGTACAAGTCCTAATAATCTAGCTAGAACAAAATCGCTTGAATAGATGTTTAATTAGTTGGTCACAATAATTTGACTCAAGGCTCAAACTAATAAAAAAAAGTTGAGAAGCTCCAACCTTCACTGAAAACTGAAAAATAAAAACTATAAGATGGTAAATTAGAAAGAAGCATAAAAGGTATTATAAATAAATTATCAAAAAATATGCAATAATAATTCGCAATTTATCGCATACTACCTTCGTTCTTTTTTAATTGCAATAGTTTGACTTTTACGTTGGTCAATGCACAACTTTGAATGTAATTTTACTTAGCAGCATAAATATCGCGATGAGGACAAAAACCAAGGACATATCTTGCAAAAAAAACAAGGACATAAGACTATGGACCATTTCACCAAGAAAACTCCGACCAAATGGGTTCATCACTTTATAAATCCCTCATCGCGATATATCACCACAAAAATAACACCACAAAATATCACCACAAAAATAACATAAAAATTATCTAATGATCATTAATTACAATATAATCCACCCACACACTATTTCTCATTAATTACAATATAAATAAGTACGTTTTCTCCATTTTCAAATTTTTATTGCCCTAGCACTTTCCTACTTTCAAACTTTATGTCTAATTTTATTCAAATATTTGTTTTATGCATATAAAATGTCATAAATGATGGTTGGGAAAATTCCCGAAATAGGAGTAAATAAGTTTGAAAATTCTAAAATATGACTATCATGTTTTTTTGTTCTCAAAATAGAAGTAATTACTGCCAAGTTTGGAAAATACTGCAATGTATAAAGTCTGGTACTGACAAAACATGACAGTAATTGGTCCTATTTTGAGAATAAAAACATGACAGTCCTATATTGGAATATACAAACATTTTTAATCCTATTTAGGGTAATTTCCCATGATGTTTTTACTTGGACTGTAATTTGCTGGTCTGGTCTGGTCTGGTCTGATCTGGTCTGGTCTGATCTGGTCTGGTCTGGTCTGAACTGGTCTGGTAAGGTCTGGTTTCTTTGTATTTTTATAACTATCCAAGTCTGATCTGGTCTGAACTGGTCTGGTCTGGACTGGTCTGGTCTGGTCTGGGGCAAATTACAGTCCAAGTAAAAACATCCTTACTTTTACGGGCTATTCTTTAGAATATTTTTTTAGAGGAGTTTATTTCTATGTTAATTGTGAGTGATACAAAATAATTAAGGATAATTAAGGATAATACAAAATATGTATACACCATTGTACTATGTTATCTCATTAGCTTTATATCATTAATTTGAATAATTTCCATATATGCATGTAAATCATAAGACAGTCCACTACAAGAAAGAGCAGATCAGTTAAACTCATAATTCACACATATGCACACTATCTTTAATTTGACTTTAACTCAAATGCCATACAAACATGTTAAATCAAACAAACTAATCCTAAACCAGACAAAACTTAAAGCATATACTTTAATTAGGGAGATTGAGGAGCGCTTTAATGCACCTAAGAATTCCACCTCATAGTACAACGGAAGACACAAAATCAACGGCAAACTCCCATTACCCCCACAATCATATATATGTATGAATACCTGCACATATATCAAGCATGAACAACGGAGCACCCCTTCCTCTTTTTAGGACACTGCTTCTCATGCAACAACATGAACAAGAAAAACTAAAGTGTATACAATCTAAGACACAATTAGAGAAAGAGGGAGATGGCAACCAGCTACACTATTTTTATGTTTTGACAATTGGCTTCTCTCTTCCTGTAAATTCTTTCAACTTTGACAAGGCAAGATTTGAAAAATGATAATTTTATACTCAGAAACAGAATTTGTATAAATATCAACGCAAAAATCATTAAATTGTCTCACCTATTAACAGTTTCAGTGCACTTTGGACATTCATTGTAGCACCAGCAGAATCAATACCCTGCAAGTTATATATACTTTAGTTATTTCCTAGACATAAGAAATGGCACAAAAATAGAAGAGAATGATGTGGATCGATAATCTAAAGAGATCCTTGATCTATTTATGAACACAAACCGCACTCCCGGCTTGGATGCAACACGTCCATCTACCTTCAAGACAACAATATTATTTGAGTTAGCTTACCAAGAAAAATACTAAACACTGTAGAGTTTAAGATAAACAATACTCTACTAACGTTCCTAAACTTAGAGGATCAGAATAAAAATTTCTGAAAAGAAATTTCTCCCATAAGTTGCCCACTGATCCTTGACAACATCACCTACGGCTATGGAAACCAATGTCTCCCCTTCTTTCTTCTTCTTGTTCTTGTATGATATTAATGAAAGTCAAGCTAAAACACCCCTATATTTGGCAAGACTGTAAGTGACAAAAGAAATATTTCCAACAGAGAAGATTAAATACAAGCACGTGAGGAAGATATTATGGTCATCATATATAAGATCTACTGGAAACAATACAAGGATATTTTGTTGAAACAATACATCAATTTTCAGCTAATTAACAAAAATATATGAGATTTTGAAATGTTAATTTAAAATTTCGCCCATCTATTTTACCCAGGGGCTATTTTAGAGGTACCAGAGACATGAAAATACATTAAACAAATAATTACTTGTAAAAATAGATACCTAAATAACTAAATAATAAAGTTGAATTACTATCAATTACGTATTTGAAAATAATAATAATAATAATACAACTAGTCTAAACACACATTAGGGGAAAATGGAGATTGAATTTACATTTCGACAAATAAACTCACCTATACGGGAATTTCTTCTTTATCATCATTGTTGGTTCGTGGTTCACTCTCAAGGAGAGGCAATTGAGACGATTCGCTTGCTAGGCTTCCGTTCGGGAAACAACAATGAAAATTTAAAAACAGATAAAAACAACTACCAATCATGGTTGGAAGAAAAGTTAGAGGAGCATTGATATAGTTTTATAAGGACAGCTTACCGATAACTCATTCATGGCACGGGGAATTGCTTTAAACGCTAAGGTATAACAAGAATTATATACTAATATGGCTAGAAAATTCATTCAAAAAAAATATAGCGAGAAAACTACATACCTTAATCACTTTTTGGCAGTTTGAATGAGCCGCAATAGTTGTTGATCATCTAATAAACAAAATGGAGCTTAATATGTTTTCATTTGGACTTGTTTCAGTTTTAGACCAAACCAAATTTAAACAAACTGAACCAAGTTTTAAATAGCTAGACGAGTCTAATCTTAGACAATAGTAAAATACTCTTATATCAAATCTTTATGGACCCAACTAGAACATATCGAACCATACTAGATCAGACTTAAACAAATTGAGCAAAAATTTTAAAACCAAATGAAAATATCCTAAACTGACCATGTTCGTCTTCTTGCTTGTATGTCCATTCGAAAAACCTACATCTACTCCCTATGCGACATTCAAAGCAAATTAAACAAACAAAATTAGCAATGACATTATTCTTATTTTGTACTTTTCAATATATAAAAAATTATTAAGTACAATCTTTCCGATCTTGAACATCAAAAGTACTCTTAATGGGATGGGCCATAAAGAAGTTGAGAAATATCGAATCCATTGGGTAAAACAAATCTATGGTCACATGAATATTGTCAAATAATGGCATTAACATATCATCTTGTAGAATCTCACGTCATTGATTTGAGAAAGGAATTAGGCATAAAATAAATATCAAAATTGATAGAAGAAGACCTATGGAGAGAAGCATGTGGCTCATACGAGCTCCTAAACCAAGACATACACGATGAATGAAGAAGAGATCACGATATGATAAGAATTTCTCTGTGGATGAGGATAGGAACTGGATATTGCAAGGATGGAAAGGAAGAGTACTCCAAGCTGTCTCTTATTGGAAGCCTAAAAACAACTAGATTATATTTTAATCTGGATTAGCAGTGTCTAATTGTGTATGATTATTATTATTATAACCAATGCAACTTTAGCAATCTTTCCAGTCAATATTATGAACAATCATCCTTTTTAACTAACTTATTATAAGATGACATAGAGTCATGTAATAATTGCTAACACTTGGAACGTCCAGTGTCCAAACCTAAGAAACTTGCAGTAGAATGTACTACGTATGAAAGTTGATAATATTGTCATTTGAATGGTGATGTGAGTTTTCTCGCACTTAAAATAGATTGTAATATAGCGGTGTAAGTACGAGTATCGTCTCCACAGGGACGGACAAAAGGGAATCAAAGATTATCTAAATTCAGCGATTAAAAAGAAAAAAATAAAAATGCGTCGTGCGAGATTGGTTGCTGGAAAATAAAAATGCGAATAAAACTATTAAACAAGGGGGTTCTTTCTAATAAATGACGAAGGGAAC